CCCTTCAAGCATTCTTTTCAACTCCTGGAGGTTCTATTTCTGCAGGGAGGCTATGGAGTCTCAAAAACCACACCCACCACTGCCTCCTTTCATCGCTTCATTCTCAAACCCTTCTACCAAATGCCAAACTTTGTACCTCTGTATCTTTTATGATTGCCTGCTTTTCTATACCTATTGCCACTACACTTGCTCAAGCCTCTATTTTGGCTGGATTACTGTAAACTTCCTAACTGGATTCCTTGGTTGCAGTGCCCACCCCCGTGCCCTCCCCGCCCCAGGTGAACCCTTTATTCACAACCACTAGATTTATTATCCTAAGGCATCAACTAATGATATCGTTTCCTAGTCAGATAACTTTCAATAACTCTTATTTCCAACACACAAGGTTTGTCAGTCTGGCATTCAAAGTTCTCCATCTTTGGGTTCTAAATTAGTTTTTTCATCTTTCACCTTTTGCCATTCTTGGTTTTTATTTTTGTTTTCCAAATGTTATGTTCCAGCAAAATGGGATTATGATACTTTCTTGACCTTACCCAATTCATTCTTTTGCTTAAGCTTTTTATTGTGACTAGATTCTAGAAGGCTATTTCCATACATCCAAATCTTACTTTAAGGTCTTAGCTCAAATGTTTTTCTCTCAAATGAGCTGTATCTCCCCCTGAACTGGGGCGGGAATCAGAATCCTTCTTAGGGCACTTACTATGGCAGAACAAGTATTGCAGTTGCTTGTGTGAATCATCTTGACACAGAGAACCTTTAGGACAGGCTCTGCTTATGTTTTATATCTCCCAGTGCCCAACACACAGTGCCTTGTGTATGCATGAATGGCAAAGTTGGGAAAAACGGAGGTAATTGGCTAGAGTAATCCAATTGCTAGGTTTTCTTTAGGGATCCTGGGGTAGTGAGTTCAAATCCAGAAGACTTCTCTCAATTGTTTTTGGTTTCTGTGCAAAGAATACCTGAATTCTTCCCAGAACAGTTGCACTACTGAAAAGGAGGAGGAAGAGGGAGAAGAAATTAGAAGAGGAAAATGATGGACAATTCAGAGTCTATTAACATAAGCAGAATACCTATGTTAGACCCAGAGGTAGTAGCTCCACTCTATTCTGTACTGCCCAGGGCAATGACTATCACATTTTCAGACACTGACATAGGGTAGATATCCACAGGAGGGAACAAGAATTACTGAAGGTCTAGAAAAATGGTCTATCCATCCATTGAACACATTTTAAGAAGCATGTGCTATATATATGCCAAGCACTCTTCTCAAAACTAAGTCTCTGTCCTTACAGGGCTTATGCTCTAATGAGGTGTGGGGTGCAGGGAGGAAGGTAGACACGCCAACAAATATTACAGTATGCGGGGAGAAGTGGACACGTAATGTACACAAATATATAATGGAGACAGCAGAAGCTGGGTCAAGGGGTGATGAGAAATTGTCATGTTAGAGGAGTTCAGGGGAACACTTCCCTGATGAAATGTTATTTCAGCAGGGACTGAAGGACCTTAGCATGACTTGTAGCTGTCTGGGATAAGTTTCCGGGTAGAGGAAACACTTAAGTGCAAAAACCCTTGGAGGAAACAAGTATTTGGTGAATATGGATGTGGGCGGCAGGGTGTGGAGGTAGGGACTACAAATCACATAGGACTTCACACAACAATGGAAATCATTCAGGGATTTTGGCCAGAGAGCAAGCACATCAAGGGAATCCAAATAGTTGGCTGCTAACAACAATCTGAGGGAGAGATAATGGTGGCTTTGGCCAGAAGAGGGGAAGGAGAGGGGAGAAATGATTGCTTTCCTAACATGTTTTGAAAGTAAAGCCGTCAGGATTTGCAGATTTGGAGACGGGCTGTTAGAGAGGAATCAAGAATGAGTCACAACAACTGCAATAACATCTGCCACTGACTAAGGGAAGATTTAGAGGGTCTGGGGTTTGGAATGAGGAAAAGATAAGCTTTAAAGATCGAGATAACTAGAACGGGAACAAACAGTAAATAGTTGGAAGTAGCAAGGAGAAAAGGAAGACCAGACCACTGGAAGACAGTTGTATAAGGACTAGACCATTCAAAATGGATAGGGCCTTTTTCATGGAGATCACTACAAGTCATCAATATATAGTCTGAATCCCCTATGAGGACACAGACTGTGGATTTATTCTTCTAACTTGAGAATCCGCCCACACTCAAACATACATATTTTTTTTCACTAATATTATGTAAGAAAACAGAGGTAACTCTAGTATCTGGTACCAAAACTTTTTGCTTTCCATTATTTCTAAAAGTCAAGTTAAAAAATTCAAAACTTCAATTTAAATCCAAAAATCTGCCTAATTAGAACAAAGGTGCTGAGAATAGCAATTTTGTCTCATTCCAAAGCTGAGAGCATAACAGACACTTAGTATGTGAATGAAAAAATGGAAGGTACAAATAAAAGTTGCCTCAAGGCTTTTGATAGGTTTTGTCTAACTGTCCCCTGAAGATTAGTGTCCATTCACGTTCCAAGCACCACGAATATGACAGGACTTAATTCCCCACAACTCTGCCCATACTGACAGGTAAAGTGCTTTCCATGACTGCTATTGTGATAGGTGACAATTAGCATCTCATAGTTTTTATTTGTATAACGGGGTTCTGCACTTGTTGCACTTTTTTAGCCATCTGTATTTTAAAATTTTTCAAATTTTAATTTCATATAGTTAAGTGTTATGTTAGTTTCAGGTGTACCATATAGTGATTCAACAATCCCATATATTGCCCAGTGTTCATCACAAATGCCTTCCTTAATCCCCATCACCTATTTCACCCCCGCACCCACATTTTAAGCCACACATATGTTGCAAATATTTTCCTTTATCTTCTGCCATACAAAAATTTGAAATATTTCCTTTAATGTTGCTTTGCTAATAACTTAAATGTTTTGCAAACCACATTTAAAAAGTTCATTCATTCAATATATAATGAATTACTGATGATATATATATATAAAATGTACTAAATATTATGTGTTGGTACCAAATAAAAAACCAAAAAGCATCCTATTTTCAGGCACATTACAATCATGAAAGGTTGTTACATGCATGTTTATAATACAGTATACAGTAGGACTGTAATAGTGGAAGCTTGCTGTGAGTGTTCTTATGAAAGAGTATCCCGAATGATTTGGACAGGCTTTAAGGAAAGTTAAAATCGGAATTAGGCAAAGAGGTAGGATTTGAAAGGGGGTGGGGAGTTCTAAGTACACTTCCAGAAATAGACTGCATGAGCAGGTGTCCAAAACAAAGTACAAGGCATATTCAGGGAACAGTGAATAGTCCAGCATGGGTTGGATAATGCTGTAGGGAAAGAGTAAGACTACACCTGCTGAACTGTTTTGAATACTTTCCTTTCCATTATGTGGTCTATAGCTGACTCCCCCAGTGCCAGAAGTTTACCCAAGGAAACGAAGCTTAAGCTGCAGGAAAGGTGATTTTCATTTTCAATCCCCTTGCACATTGCAGACCCGCCCACTTTGGGTTACACACAGAAGAATCACATTGACTAATACCATATAATCAAGGCATAGTCCTCACTTTGAATTCTCTGAGTAGAATAGGTAGTTATGGCCCCTTGAGGGTTAAAACTAGGAAATCACAGATTCCACGAAGTATCAAATCTAATTTGGATCACAGATAAACATTCTCAGCTTACCTTACACCTAAGTATGAAGAACTCATTATGAAATCCTTGGCACTGTAACGTCAAAAGTAGAAGCACAGTATTCCATTATTGTGTATGTTCCATGGGCTGTGGGTCATCGTTGTCCAGTAGGATAAAGCATGACATTGTGGACATCAATTTTCTCATAAACATGGAAAACTTAGAAATATAACTGCACCCCCCAGGTTCAATTAAAATTAAGACAATTTAAACCAGATAGCTGCAAAAATATTTGTGAAGTGTATTTTTGTTTCTAGCCACTCAGTAACTTGTGAGATCCAGGCTTAAAAGTTAATGCTGCAAAGTTAGCAAAGAATGATTAAATCCTTTGGGTAAGGATTTAAAAGATAAAAGCATAAATAAAGTTTGAAAAAAGAGTAAAGCCCTATATATTTTTCAAGGTTATTAGAGATGAAAACAAATCAGGTATGCATATTTGGCTAACCTTAGATTTAATATATTTAGATAAAAAAAGAACTAAGTTGATGTCACAAATTCAAACTCAAGCAGTTTTGGTTGCTGAGGTAGTAAATATTCTATCACCTGAAACCTCAGTGCCAAATTTAATATAAACACATTTTTGCTACATGTTAAATATATATAAATACACATATAAATCTATTCACGCCCTTCAATAAACTGTAAGTGGACAAAGCTGGAGAACAGATCTTTTCCATATCCAACTTATTTGACTCAAAAATAATCCACTTCCTAGCTCTGAACATATATATATAAATTTCTTACCTAGTCTTACAAGATAAATTTGCAGAATTCAACTTGTATTATTCCAGGGCTAATTACCTGCTATATTAGTTTATTACACAGGGACATCAGTGTTAGGGGACTTAACAATTTATTTTTGGGCAGAAAAATGAGAACTGAACAGTGATTTCGACACTGTAAACTGAATTGTTCCTTAGCATACCCTAATGCTAATATAGGGCAGATCATTAACCATAAAGTACATTGTGGGATTTAAGGGACAAAAGTGTAGTTCAAAGTCTTTTGACAAAATCATACCATTCCTATTACCTTTGAAAATTAAACACTCTCAGAATTCTTGTATACATCTTAGATGTAGATGTCCTGTTTGGACATTCCATTTATTGGAATGCTGTTGAAATGCTGCATCACCATTATAATACACAATGATATAATACAGAATCTCACTTGAAGCAATTACCAAACTAACAGCCATCAGGGGAAAATGGGACTTTTAGCCATAGCATGAAACACACATAGAATCTAAGAAAATCCAATTATTTGAGGGTTTTCAAGTTAGAAAACAAATTATAAAAAACTCAAAAGATGTTGCCAGGTTTACTAGTTGAGTGCTTTTGACACTGTAAAAATAAGACACAAAACAACACCATAGTTACAATCATTAGGACTCACAGTCTTTTAAATGATTATAGGACTGAAAAGAATTGTATGACTCAATTATCAAGAATTTCTAAAATTCTTTGTTTCCCAATAAAATAACTCTAAATCACGCATATTCTCTAAAGCAGCTTTCCAGTGCATCAACATGTGTGCTCTCTTAGCTAGATGTTTGCTAGAAATTAGCAAGAACCACTTTTTTCCTCCATGATCATCTGGCAAAAACCAAACTGCTTAACTCCTTCTGCCGGCTAGGCTGCCCCCTACTGGACTGTGTTAAGATACAAAGCCAGCAGGTCAAAGGCCTGTTTCCTAACATTGTAGAGCTAAATGTACATGAGAAATCAGGCATATCCTATTCTTCAAACAAACTGAACTGCCTTGAATATGCACAAAAAGAATACTTTCCACTGTAAAAGTCAGTGGAAAAAAATCAGCAGAGTGTTCTTTCTACAAGTAAACAATTTCAGTCACTAAGAACTGGTAACAAAGAAGCTTTCTACAGTCTTAGTCTCCTTTTTCAATACCTTGGTGGCCAATCTGGGGCAATTGTTGTAGTAATGGGTATTCTGTAAAGCCAACCTTTGATGATGATTTGTGTATTAATACAAATCACATTTTTGTGAGTCCATCTACTCTATGAATTTCTTTATGCATAAACACGATTCATAGTAGATACATGCTGAGTAGATCACATACACAAGTCTCTTGTCACAGGATGAAAACTTTTCCCAGAGCGGTTTCCTTTGTGAAGATTCATTTGGGTAGCAAGAGCTTTTTCTCTGCACTTCATCCCCATGCCTGAGATTTGCAGTAATGTAGGACCAGTTTACCATCACTGCCAAAACACTACAAAAAGATAAAAGGCAGTAAGTTAAACTCAATTTAATTTTTGTTATTCTTAGATGAAACTAAGAAAAAAAAGTTTTATATATATATCATAATATCCTCATACATGTAAGTATCTACAAGACTATTTCTTTCAACAGATCTAAGTTACTCTTGGACACGTATCAGTAACCATAATAAAACCCAGCATTTTATGCATGGATGGGCTTGCATATTATCTTGTGCCTTTCCTACAACTCTTAACTATAAGGTATGTATCGTTTTCTAGTAGTGGTGCTAGTGACTACATTCAAATGATTATGACCATTAAACTATTCTAATGTTGAATAAAGTCATTATTATGCAGCCTTCCTTTTCAATGTCTTGGGAGGCAGATCTGGATTACTGTACTTCAAAGTCATCTTCTGTTCGTATTATTCATTTCTTAATTTTTCCATCAGTATAATTTGAGATCCGGCTATGTTCTAAGTGTTAGATGTAACAAAGTAATCTCTTCTTTCATGACAGCTAAGAATGGTATATCATTTCTAAAAATGCTGTGAGTTTAAGATCACATTATACACAGATGTGGATACTCCATTAAGAAAACAAAGCACTAATGTGTTACCTCATAGAGGGTTCCAACTTCCTGGTCTGGGGAGGGGGCAAAGGACTGATTCACATAAATAAACTGCAAGAAAGAAGAAAAAAAATGATTCATTTTTAATGGTATCCTGATTATTTTGCACTTTTCTGGATTTAGTCAGCTATTTCAAGTTGTTTTCAGAATTGAAAAAAAGTTTCCCTGGACTCCTAATTCTAGTAAGTTACTCAACTAATGAAATCTCAATTAAGATCAATCATGTCTTTCCTCTAGAAGACTAAAAGTAACAGAATTTCTGGTCCTAGAACAGGGGTTCCAAAATTTTTATAAATAAGAAATCTTTAAATATTGTCTTACAAATAACATTCGAAAGTTTACTCAAACATTTGAAGGTAATTACTGGGGGCACCTGGGTGGCTCAGTCGGTTAAGTGCCTTCTGCTCAGGTCATGATCCCAGGGATTGGAGCCTTGTGTAGGGCTCCCTGCTCAAGAGGCAGTCAGCTTCTCCCTCTCCCTTGGCCCCTTCCCCTGCACATGCACTCTCTAATAAATAAAAAAATCTTTTTCTTTTAATAAAAAAATCTTAAAAAAATACTAGAAATATTAATTTTCCCATGTACTCATATTTAAAGACAGAATTTCTCCTAATGAAATTCTACAAATAGCTTCAAATCAAGAAATCTAATATTTGAACTTGTTTGTGCATTTTCTGGGTGGGAGTGGGGAGTAAATGACACATATGGTTGATTTTTTTTTTTTAATCTTTATTACTTTTGACAACTCTCAAAGGTACTGAACTTCAGGTAGAGTACCTCTATTATTAAGTCACTTTCAGCAAAGTGAGGTTAAAAAAAGTAACAAAGTAGCTTGTTCTTTAAAAGGATTCACTGTTCAATGTTTCAGTTTAGTCTATTTTTATTAAAACATTCCTGACAATACTGAAACAAAAGGTCACAGTATCAAAGTGGCTTTTGATAATTTTCTTTTCATAAAATAAAGAAACTTTATTTGCAGGGAACATATGCAATTTTCCTGTGTTATCAAATTCTAAGACTAAAATTTCCTGGGCTTAAATTAACATAGTACTAAAAGAAAAGCAATATTGGAATAGTTGGTTGAGAGATACTACATGGGTCACCAGCGACAACAAGCTGGTGCTTCCATTTCTTGAAGCAATACAGTGTGGTAATTAAAAATAGAAGCTCTACTGAGATAGCTCTAGATTTGAATCTTGGCTCCAAATACAAATAACCTCTCAATTTCAGCAAATAGTCACTGTTTATTATGTGCTAGAAACTGCACAAAGTGTGGAACTATAAAGATTATTATGATCTCTTCTCCCAAATGAGTTTTTGATCTAATGGAAAGGCAGACACACAGATAATATAGATGGGAAAAGTGCATGTGACAAGGTATACAGTACACACAGATGAGGCATTAGTTCAGCCTAGCAAAAAGGCCAAGGAAGTTTCCTGGAGGAGACCTGAGAAATAAGATTTAACTAGGTGAAGAGAATAGTAAGGGCTTTGGGGGCAAATGGGGTGAAAGTAAGGAGTGTCAGAGTTGAGGGCGCAGTAGATATAGTAGAGAACTACAGGATCTCAACATGGTTTCTGTAACAGGAGTTAGCAATTGAGAATGACTAATAAAAAAAGGCAATATAGCTTATTTAAAATTCCATGAGAGCAAAAGGTTCACTATGCAATCTTGCTAAATCCTGCAACGTGGGAAGATAAAATTATTCTAAAAAGTTATTTTATTTATTTTTAAAGATTTTATTTATGTATTTTGATTGCAAGTGGAAGGGAGAAGGGGGTGGAAGGGAGAGTGTGTGTGAGCTAGCATGCACCAGCAGGGGTAGGCGCAGAGGGAGAAGCAGAAACTGTGCTGAGTGGGGAGGCTGATGAGGGTACTAGATCCCAGGACCCCGGGATCATGACCTGAGCTAAAGGCAGATGCTTAATGACTGAGCCACCCAGGGCACCCTGATTTTGTTTTTAAACCACTAGTTTTTACTTTCATTGTTATGAAGCTCTTTCTCTAGTAGCTTCCTCTGGAAGGGCTCATGGGAACAATTCCAAATTCCTGGACATTGCTAATAGTTTATGCCTATTAAAAGTCAGTTTTTGGGAGCGCCTGAACATCAGCGCTCCAGTGTGGAGTTTCCTTGAGCTCTCTCCCTCTGCTCTTCTCCAGGTAACATGCACTAGCAAATAAGCAAATAAATAAGCAAATAAATAAATAAAATCTTTAAAAGGTTTGTGGCATATAAATTCTCATCTCACACTTTCCTCATCACTTTGCTTTTTTCCTTATAATTTATAGGTTTCCCTATAAGTTTGACAATAATTTAATTTTCTTTCAAAGTCATGTCCTTTTTTCCCCCTCTATGTCCAAGAGTTTTTCTATTTCAAACCTAGTTAATCTAACCAGAATATTTATTGATGCTTGCTATTTTGTGTTGATATTCTTAGGTACTTTTTCAGTATATAGTTTTTAATCTTATTAAGAAATTTCCCTTGATTTATACTTTTAAATATTTGTTTTGATTCTTTGCTTTTTCAAGGACTCCTTTTTTTTTAATATTTTATTTTTATTTATTTTTTATTTAATATTTTATTCATGAGAGACACAGAAAGAGAGAGGCAGAGACATAGGCAGAGGTAGAAGCAGGCTCCATGCAGAGCCCGATGGATCGATCCTGGGTCTCCAGGATCACGCCCTGGGCCAAAGGCAGAGCTAAACGGCTGAGTCACAGGCTGCACAGGGACTCCTTTAATGTGTATGTTCACTTTTCTTTGTTCATAATTATTTGCCACCTTTTCTGACATCTTTTTTATCTTTCTTTCTGATTAAAAAAATTTGGCTTTTATGGGGTGCCTGGGTGGCTCAAATAAGCATCTGGCTCTTGATTTCATCTCAGGGTTGTGAGGTTGGGCCCCGAGTCTGGCTCTGCACTAGGTGTGGAGCCTGCTAGATTCTCCTCCCTCTGTGCCCTCTTAAAAAAAAAAAAAAAAAAAAAAAAATAAAATAAAATAAAATAAAATAAAATAAAATAAAATAAAATAAAATAAAATAAAATTGGTCTTTTTGCCTTCTATTTTTCCTAAAGCTTTACTGGTTATTTGCTCTTAGGTTTTTTCTACTTGAATCTCCATTTCCAAAATAACTTTTATTTATAATTTTTTTCCTGAGTTCTGTCACTTCAATGGAGTTTTACTAATGCTGATTAATGTTATTCTTTCACATCTTACATCATTTTCTTAATGTCTTTTAGCTCGTTTTAAAATACTAAATTAGTTACCTTTATCAGAGGCGCATCTTTCTGGCATTCTTTCATTGTCTTTAGGAATGTTACTTTTCTTTCTTATAACATTGTATGGAATTTGACCTTGATACTTCTCTGTTGCTTATTAAAAAAAAAAAAAAAAAAAAAGGATTTCTTTATATTATTTGAGAGAGAGCAAGCACAGGTGGGAGGGGCTGAGGGAGAAAGAATCTCAAACAGACTGCAGAGTTAAGAGCCTGACCTGGGAATTGATCTCATGACCCTGAGGCAAAACTAAGAGTCAGATATTTGACCAATGGGTGGGGAGGGGGTACTGAGGTGCCCCTCTGTTGCTAATTTTTATATGTAATTAGTTTTCTTTGACTTAGCTTTCTACCTTCTTCCCCTTCACTTTGATCTGGTCTTTGTTTCCTTCTCTCATGTTTCTAACCCTGCTCAATTTTGTTTCACTTCCAGAAGTTCCTTCTCAGTGTGGGGTCTTGTCCTGCAAGGAAGCCCTTCTGTGTCTGTTTAGAGAGCTCTCTGGGGCTAGACTGCCCCAGCAATTCAGTCCTCCTTAGGGGAGATACATTGTAATCATTTCTCAATTTCAGCTATCAAACTAACTTGCTCTACTTCCCAGTGAATACCTGGTGGCTATTCAGGTTTTCCTCCTCTCAGTGTTGTCAGCTACCAATCCTGTTGCTTCTTTTAGCCCATTTGGTGATACCATGCATTCCAGGGTTCATGAGGATGCTCCCTCATCTAGGTTTGTTATAAATACTGATCAACTGTTTTTTGGTTTTGCTGTCTAGTCAGCTATGTTTTTTTGGGAATGTGAAGATCCAATCATGCCTCTGACACCACTGCTATCTTCACAGAATCCCTAGCATTATATTTTCCTTAACACCCACTTTGCTTAAAATATGTGGAGTACAACTAGATGAAAGTCAGATGTGGACTCTAGTTCAGTCTAGGAAAAGTGATAAAATGATCTACTCTCGTTTCTTATTGCTTAAACAAGAAGAATTAGATTCATTTCAAAGGTTAAGTTGAACCATATGAAATTCCTACTTTTATGTGATGATGGTTGACTGATGGCAATTTTACATGGTTCAACCTAATACATACTGCTATCAATCAAGTCATTTCAGATTACTGAATGTAGGCAACACAAAGAGTCAAGACTTTAACATTAACATAGAACGTAGCATTGTTTCATCTTCTCTTCATATATTTCTAACATTAATGCCATATTGGTTTTCTACTTCACCATCTCTTGAGGCTGCACCTTTAGCAGAGACACCTCTGCTCATTTCTCTCAAGTCTATGCCCTCAGTCCTCTAACTTTGCCATTCAGATTTGATGCTGGGCAAGTCCTCTGCTCCTGAGGTTTTAGCTATCATATGCATGTGGATGACATTATAATCTTCTACCCACCGCTGGCATTTATTTAACTAGATTCTATATGGCATTCTTATAAAACATGCTTTTCTCACTCTGATTACAAAGGCAATTTCCTCTGGAGGAATCTTTGGCTCTATGCTATTCCTGCCTCAAATACATTCTAGTGATTCACCTACCTTCCACTTCACTTACTTTTGTATCTATAACCCTTTCATGAGAGTCACTGATAGTCAAATTCTTAAATCAGTACCTTCCTCAATGACAGAAAAATAAAATCCAACAGATTCCACTTTAATAAATTCACTCATTTTATGCCTTCTTACTTCTAAGTTCACAAGCAACTTTATCCCTCCCCAGCACTAACACATATAAACTCTTAGTCTGTATTTTAAAAATACTAAGTGGTTCTTCATTTCCCTATCCACTCAGATACTATCTGTGTTAATAATGACCAAGACTGTGATCTGCAAAAAAAGATGACTGATACATTACCATTCCACATGACAAAAAAATACCAAATACATGTAAGCATTTAAATTTCTACAGTCAAATACCAAGTTAAAAACCAGTGGCATTTAAAATATTAATCCTTACAACTGCTACCACAAACTGCTTACCATATATGGTGTATTATGAAATAAGTACCTTTCTTAATTCTTCCATGAATATGGCAATATATATTGCTTACCTCAGGAAGACCGGGAAGGAACAATGATAGCACAACAAAATTTTAAAAACCCAGAACTTTTCTGTACTAATGTTCTAGGAGAGATCTTTCTGCATGAACATTCAGTGACTGAAGGAAAAAAAACCAAAACAGTAGGTAAAATACAGTTTGCTATAAAAGCAAATCTAAAAATCATTTCATTTTGGAGTTCCCCAGAGAATTTAATAAAGTACAGAAATTCCATCAAAAAAGGCAATAAAAAGACATTACTAAAGGAACGCATGTGGCTCCATACTCATTTCTATGTACAACAATTATTCATAGTTGCCCAGAAAACTACTGTGAATTTATGTAGGGAAATGATCACTGTTGCTTTCATACCAACTGTTCAGAGGCCACAAGCTTAAGGAATTTTTTGATGAAGTCAATGAGTCCTTGAATGGTTCGGGTTCGCTCTACAGCCCACTTCTTTGTTTTCATTATAGGGGTGTCTCCCACAGCCTTCAAGAGGACATCAACTGTCAAAGAAAAAAAACACTGGCTATTACACTGAACCATCCAAAGAAAACATGATATTAAAGACTTCAGAAAACTTAAACTTTAATTGATATACAGTTTATGTACGTATGATAGTGGAGGCATGTCCAAGATGTAGAAATTTTAGGTAATACTCTTTCTCATCATGCTTTTGTGAAATTTTCCCCTTGATTCTACAGTCCCACAAAAGTCTCTCCATGAAACTGACCTTTAAAATGCATTTGGACATAACAGGCAATTCCAAAAAGAAGAAATGAAGATAGAAGAAAATAAGAAAAAAAAATGTCATGGCCTTTTCATTGACTAAACTAATAAAATTACAATAATAATAGTGTAGACAATATTACTGTTGGGAAAGTAAAATTGTATACTTTTTCTGGTGAGCATTATAGCAATATATACTCAAATACTTCAAGATATACTTTGACTCACTTCTAGAAATCTAGTCTAAGAAAATATGAGATGTGAAAAGAGTCACTTAGAAGGATTTCATCTTTGTTGAAGAATTTATTTTTACAAGGGGAAAAAACCCACCTTGGTAAATCTAAATATCCAGCAAGAATATTTAGAAGAGATTGCTTAAAGGACATTACATTCTATGATAGAATTTATACAATATAGTAAAGCACAAACATTTTACACTCCCTGGGTTCCAAATCCTGACTCTGTGACTTGCTAGGTATATATATCTGGATAAGCTTTAATCTCTCTGTGCCAGTTTCTCCATGTGTAAAATAAGGATAATATCTACCTCACAAGGTTGTTGTGAGAATTAAATTAGTTAATACACGTAAAGTACTTAGAACAGTAACAGCTCATAACTCACACTTACTGAACCTTAAGTTATTAAGCTGCCACTAGAGAAACATATTATTAAAGCATACTTAACAGTATGACTAAGTTATAAAAATGTACTAAAAACAAAACAGCATGTATAATAGGATACCAATTTCATTAAAACCACCACAAACATATATTCACATAAATGTGGAATATGTGCCAAAATGCTATTTCTCAGTAGTGACATTACAGATGATCATTTGATTTTATTTGTGCTTTCTGTAACTATGAAGTTTTCTACAATAAACTTAATAAAGGAAAATAATAAAAATATTAAGAGGAAAATACGACTAGGGACCAAAAGATTTGAGATAGAGAAATCAAGTTTCAATAATCCAAAATACAAGGATACAAATGCAAAGGCTGAATCTTTTCCTTTAAGTTACTTTGGAAAAAAAAAAAAAAAAAAAAAAGCAGACATCTACAAATTAACACTGAAAGCAAAATAGTGTACTGCTGCCCCCTAAAGTTAGCTCTATGCTATTACATCCTTCTTGTCTCATTTTTTGGTATTAAAAATTGAGATTCCCATCAGGTCACTGCAATCAATTTATTTAAGTTTGCCCCTGGAATGAAGGCACCTAGAACACAGGACACAAATTATCTTCCTGCTGAAATTTATATTCCTTTCTCCATTTAATAATTATAGCTTCAGTTATTTAAATACGAATGAACTGGGAGATAACAGAAAATTATCTTCAGGTACCTCTGCTAATCCCCTTGGACCTGTCAATAACTTAGTTGTAACTGGGTATTTCAGTAAAGTGAAGCAGAAAATATTGTGAATTATATGTACTACTGAAGGCAGAAGAGCAGGAAGGCAAGAAGCTAGAGCTACTGTAGTTACAACTGTAACTATTTTAGAATCAACATTTACAAGAATACAGGTATCCATATCAATTACATTAGTCTTCTGGAAGTAGGGCATTGGTAGGGTCAAAAGCTCTCCCAGGTGATCATAATTAGTTCCTAAGGCCCAACAACCTTGGTCAGCTTAAGGAATCTTTATTCTTTTGCAGCTTAAATTAAAGGTGGGTCATATGAAGTATTGGCACTTCCTCCATCAGAAGAGATCAGAAGAGATCCTCAAAAAAGGAACTACTTCAGGGTAGAAATTTAATGGCTAGAAACAAAGTTTTTCATCACAGAGGCAAAGTCAAATATTCTCAAGGACCAGAAAATGAAAATACTATTTTTCAGTGGTGGTTTAAAGAAAAAAACTATGCAGACCAAGGAAAACATGGCTTATAACCTGTGGTCATATCTGGGTTATGAGCCATTCATTTTTTTGCCTGTTTTACTCCGCTATCTTCAGGGTCAAGTAGGAAGCTTTTGACTACGGCTGTCAAAGCCAAACAAAAACAAAAACAGAAAACAAAACAAAACAAAAAAACCCACCCCCAAAACAAAACAAACACAACAAAAAATCTTTGGAAAGTCTGTTTCTGTTTGTAGTAAAATGAGAGAAAAAAAATGAACAAGAATCTGTAAAAATCCTGGAATTCTTCAGTAAGACTCCAGTGCTTTTCTACAGAAACAATACAGGTTTCTACTACTCTATCAAGTGGAAATGATAGAATGAGTTTCCCCCCAAATATAGGGGTGGTCTGACTTAAAAGGGAGAAAATGCCAGGAAACAGTTCTCCAAAAGCTGCAAAAACTCAAATTCTATTGAAAGGCTGTGAGATCATGGAGGAGAAAACATGCCATACCTATACTTTAAAACTCTGGATTGAGAGTCTGAGGCCCAGGGTCAACCAATCCGAATTGCAATCTCTGGCTTGAGGCTTTTCTCAGAGGCAAGTACACAGAGTGCTCAAAGACAAGTGATTTCCTTCGGATTTTCCGTATTTTACGATGGCTAACCCATTCTCAAGCAAGGAAAGGTTGAGGACTCATTCAAGCAACGAAAACGACTCGCTTAAAGACTCCAAAATAGCTGGGGGGGGGGGGGCGGTGACAGGGAGAGGAGGAAGGAGGATGCTTATGGTTTTCTCTCAACATTCTTCGTCCTTGATAAAATTTCGGTTTTTTGATACAAGGAGTGAATTCACACGCAGTTAATAGAAAAAAAACAGCGAACTAGTCGGAAAGCGTGGATTCTAAACCAAAGTTGCTACTGAGTATCCCTATCACCTTAAGTCACTAGTCAAATAATTATGTCCCAACGTTAAGTACCTGGAACTACCGAAGTCCCACTCAGCTCCCACTTTCTTCTTTATTTTAAAACGATTTTATTTGAGAGAGAGAGAGAGAGAGAGAGAGCGAGAGAGAGCGAGCGCGAGCGCACAAGCAGGGGACGCTCAGGGGAAGTGGGAGAAGCAGGCTCCCTACCGGGCAGGGAGCCCAACCTGGGGCTCGATCCCAGGACCCCGGGATCATGCCCTGAGCCCAGGGCAGACGCTTAACCAACTGCGCCACCCAGGTGCCCCTCAGCTCCCACGCCCCGCAAGCCCGCAGTCCCACCAGCTCCAAAGGAGCGAGGAACGCGGTGTAGTAAGTACTGCCCCGCCCAGGCGCCCGCCCCGCCCCGCCCCGCCCAGGCGCCCGCCCAGGGGCCCGCCCAGGGGCCCGCCCGCCCGCCCCGCCCCGCCCGCCCGCGCCGCGCAGGGAGGTCCAGGGACGGCTGTCCTGAGAGTCACCCAACTCAAAGGTCTCAAAAGCCGAAAACTACACTTCCTCTCTCCTGACTGGCCAGAAGCCAAGGCTGGGACCGGCCCTCCTCTGAATTTTGCTCCTTTATTGGCCGCCAGGGACCTAGTCAGACGCAATCTAAACAAACCTCCCGCCTTCGCCTAGAAATTGGCTCACAAAAAATTACTTTTTTTCTTGGTGTCGCCAGCAGGTTCCTCTGTTCCCGGGGAGACGGCGGCGGAAGAAGGGGGCTCCGGAGTGGCTGTTTCCGGGGAGACCTCCGTAGGTCCTTCGCCCTCAGCAGCGGTCGAGGGAGGGAGCTGCAGCCCCGACTCCGACTCCTCAGCCATCTTGCCCAGCGGAGCGCGAGGGCGGAAGTGGCGGCTCGGCGCGTGCAGGGGGCGGGCTTTACGCCAGGGGCGTCGCTAGGGAGGCGCCGGAGGGCGGCGCGGGGGTGGGGGGGCGGAAAGCCACAGAGCCCTGACTGTGAACACCGCAAGTGCGGTTTGGCCAGAGTAGCCTCCCTCCGGAAGGAGTCTGCGAGCCCAGCGCGCCGCCGAGGGCGCAGCCGCCTACCGGACCGGCGGGCTCGGGGCCGGAGATGTTTCCGCTTCCCTTCGCGCCGGCCCCGCCCCGGCCCGGCCCCGCCCCCGCCCCGGCCCCGCCCCGCCCCGCGACGCGGGGGCGCGCGCGCGCGCGTGCGGGAGGGGGCGGGTGGGGAAGGATCGCCGGCGAGATCCCGAGGCGAGGCTCGCGCGCCCGCCCCCGCCCCGGCCCCCAGCGCCCGCCCGGTCCGCCCGGCTCAGCCATGATCAAGGCGATCCTCATCTTCAACAACCACGGGAAGCCGCGGCTCTCCAAGTTCTACCAGCCCTACGTGAGTATCCCGCCGCCTAGCCGCCGCCTAGCCGCCGCCGCCGCCGATCCGCGTGAGGGGGAGTCGTTGGCAGCCTGGCAGCGCCCTCGGGGCGACCCCCTGAGGCGCGCCGCGGCCCTTCGCGCTCCCGGGCTGCCAGCCTCCGGCTCGGGTCCTCCGACGTGGCTCTGCCGGGCGGCCCCTCCGCCTGTCTGTGGGCTGGGCGGCTTCCCGGCTGGCGCGGGCGAGGCTCCGGGGGACTTCCCGGGGCGGGGGCCCCCGGCGGCCGGGCGGCCGCAGCCCACCTGCCCCCGCGAGCCCCCCGGGCGCCCCGGCCTTCCGCCGCCCGCGGCTCGCAGCCCCACCTCCCCGACTCGCCGCCGCTCCGGGCCGACTGGCGTCTGCCCCCGTGGACACATGGGCTTCTGTTTTTCCCGGGGATCCGCTCGCCGCGCAGGAACTCGGGCTTCCTTCGTTCCGCCGAGCTCGCTCGCTCCGTACGCTCTCTCCTGGCTACTGCCGTTGGGCCCTCGGCCGCCCGGTGCGACTTTCAGGTGTCTCTTTAGTAGAGAAAAGAAAGATAAGTGAGGACCTCACCTTTTTCTCGGGCTTTTCCCCTGGTGGCTGCAAAGGGAGACCTGCAGTAACTGGCGACGTTTGGCCCATGACAGCTGTGACTCTCTCCACCTGAAAGTTAACGATGGCAGCTGCTGGTTTGGCAGTTCTCTACCTAAGGGAATTGGGTCTCGTGTGTAGCTTTTCTTTTACTTAGAAAGACACTCCGTGGAGTGTAAGTAGTGCTGAAAAAATGCAGGTGTTAAGGGGGGGGGGTAAAGATGAGCAGTTTTTAAAAAAGATTTTATTTATTTATTCACGAGAGAGGCAGAGGGAGAAGCAGGCTCCCTGCAGGAAGCCTGATGCAGGACTCCATCCCAGGACCCCAGGATCAAGGCCTGGGCCAAAGGCAGATGCGCAGCCACTGAGCCACCCAGGTGCCCTTCTCTCTCATTTGTGAGGATCATAGAAGAGGGTTGAATAAAGTGAGAAAATGAATTGATGATATTGACACATTGCTTTTATTTTGCGTGATCTTTTTTTTTTTTTAAAGATTTTATTTATTTATTCATGAGAGGCACAGAGAGAGAGAGAGAGAGAGAGAGGCAGAGACATAGGCAGAGAGAGGAGCAGGCTCCCTGGGGGAGCCTGATGCGAAACTCAGTCCCAGGACCCAGGAATAACCACCAGAGCCAAAGGTGGAGGCTCAACCCCAGAACCACTCAGATACCCGAAGATAAGTAATTTGTTAATGACTGAGCGAGGGTTACAGACATAGGTGCCTATCTGAGGGCAAAATTCATCACTAGGTAAAACGTGGAGCTGTCAGTATAAGGATTCATGTAGAGATAGAACTCTTGGCTGGAATTGGGGCATTTTGCTTACAGTCAGAAATGAACATTCAATTAAATACTGAAATTGTGCCAACGCTAGCACTTCTGTGTGGATAAAGCCCAGATGGAAGTGATGCCTGCCCTTAAAAAATTAAATGTGAAAATGTCACTTCACTTAAAACGATAATGCAGTCTGTGGAGGTGTTAGTTGAAGTATGAAATCTTGAGCTTATTCTTCATTTCCTTAAGTAGCTTTGCTTCTGCTGGTGATAAAGAATATTTTCGTCTGTTCCTGTTTGGTTTTAGTATAGTATAAATCAAATACTAATGCTCTTGTTTACGACTTTGGTATCATTTTTTAACCCAGAATAAAATCGTATTTGATCCTTCTGAGTGGGGGGAAAAAATGCCCTTCACTATACAATCTTACCCATTTACCTAAAGTACTGTAGTGGTCATTATTGAAGGAATCTTTTTCTTAATCGTTGCCTGGTCATCCATTTGTGGTAAAGAAAAGGTATTTTGTGACACTGAAACAGAAATCAAAGATGTGTTTTTTTTTTATCTACATTTTTTAAGAAGATTTTATTTTATTAGAGACTGAGATAGTGACAGAGATAGCGAGAGAGAGCACAAACTGGGAGGAGATGGAGAAGTAGGTATCCCCACTAACCAGGGAGCCAGATCCCAGGACCCTGGAATCATGACCTGAGCCAAAGGCAGACATTTGAGCCACCCAGGTGCCCCTCATATATTCACTTAATAATCAGTATTCAAAACAGTAAGTTTCCTGGCTAGTTCATAATATCAGTGTAACCACTCATGCAGCGTGGAATTTAAGCATTGACAGAAAAATGTATTTTTTTTCTTAAGATTTTATTTATTTGAGAAAGAGCAGAGAGCACAAGAGGAAGGGTGGGAAGAGGGAGAAGCAGACTCCCTGCTGAGCAGGGAACCCATTGTGGGGCTGTGTCCCAGGACCCTGGGGTCATGACCTGAGTCAAAAGCAGCTACTTAATCCACTAAGCCACCCAGGTGCCCCAGGAATAGAAGTACTTTTTACCCTTACTTAGAGGTAGCAGTGAAGGTTACTGTGGGAAAAGGCAGTTCCGGCAGCAGCGGCAGTTGCATCAATGACAGTGTTATTAGGGGCAAGGACCTAAGAGGTGTAAAAAAAAAATGACCTAGTGTTCACTGAGTATACAGGAGTGAGGATGCCAGAAACTCTTTCTGTGCATTAGTCTTTTTATCAAGTTGGGTTTTGCCAACCATATATTTTCATTATTCAAGAGTAATGTAACATATTTACTTCTGCTAGGTCATACATAACCTATTTGAGGGCAGAATTCTTTTCCATTCCTTTATTCCATCAGCCAGTTAGTTTGTCAGCATATATTCATTTCATGCCTATCATGTCCAGTGGAAATGAACAAACACAACCTCTCTTCTGGAGGGAGATGGACAAAGCTAATAAGTAGAATATATAACATGTCAGAGACTAGTAAGTGCTGTGGAAAAAAATAAAGCAGTGTAGGGTGATAAGGGAGTGTGAGGATGACAATTTAATATAGAACGGTCATGTGAATTCTCACTGAGAAGGTGACATTTGAGCAAAGACTTGAAGTAGGTAAGAAAGCCAGCCTTGAGGGTAGAACATTCCAGGCAGAGGGAGCAGCAGATGTAAAGGCTCTGAGGATGGAATGCCCCATTTGAAGAACACCAAGAAAGCTGGCATGGCCAAAGCAGACTATGTAAGGAAAGAGTACTTGGAAATGAGGTCTCTTTGTATAGGGCTTCAGAGTTATTCTGTTCTCATTGCCTGGAATGTCCTTCCCTTCCATTGCCAAATGTCCAGATTTGACCTCTTGTTCCACATTTAACTCGAACATCACTTAAACATTTCCTGAAGCTTTTTGTCTTTGTTGGATGACTCCTCTTGGTTCTTAGGATTTTATTTTTATCTTTATTATGGTACAGTGTTTGGTTTCACAGCCTAAAATTCCTTGGGGCATCCTATAGATTCCTTGAGAGAAGGTATTGGATTTTAGATATATTTATGTCACCCCTCGCAATCAACATTAAATTTTGAATATAGAAAGCTCTCGAAAATCCTTGCTTAATGTAGTCATTAGATTCTCCTAGCTTAATAGGCAGTTTGGATTAGAAGTGACTTCCTAAGGCTCCTTCCACCTTTCCACCAGATCTTATCCTTCATTAACTGGAGGTTTTAAGAATTCATGCCTTCAGGATAAAAGCAATGGTGGAATAGCTATTACTTCAGCTGTTTCTGTTTTAAGTTGAAGCTCCTAAGAAGTATATATTCAACAAGATTAACAGTTTTGATTGAAACTTATTAAGAGCACCTAGTGGTATGGTCCTGATAAGGTCCTGAGATTTGAGTCCAGCAATAATGGTTTAGCACTGAGCAGTTTGAAAACTATTGAACCATTTGCCAACCAGTTTCTTTTATTGCATTGGATTCCTATTCCTCATCTATCCTTCCTTTTTTAAAAAAAAAAAAGTTTATTTATTTTTTAGTAATCTCTATACCCAACATGGGGTTTGAACTCAAAACCCTGAGATCAAGAGTCTTTCTTAGATGATCTTCCGACTGAGCCAGCAAGGTGCCCTTATCCTTCCTCTTAATAGAACAATTTATATGTTCTTCTTTACCCTTTAATAGTGCAGATTTCTGTTTCCCACTGTAATAGATTTTTAGATGTTTTACATTTGATTGTGCCTCCCAGCTGCTGTGAGATTTGATATATATGAAGTCACACATCTATTTTGCTAAACTGAAATTTTTGGTTCATTCTGCTAGAGTCAGATATTGAGAATTCAAGGATGGACTCAGAATGTCATCACCTCTTGTGTTTTTGCCCTCTCTTTCCTTGAGCTATGACGGCAGAAGTTCAGTTGTTTTCCCTGGTTTGTTTCTTTAGTTGATGGTTAGCCCCAGCAACTTGGCCACAATAAACTTTAGTCTTTTAATATTTGCCTGTCAATACTTCTCTATTACTATAAATGACTAATGAGACGTACAGTTCATAAGCCAGATATGTTTTTTACATAGCCATCAAACAACTTGAGTTTTGATTCCTGTGTTATTAATAAACCATGACATACCACTTTAAATAAAGTGAACATGTTTTTCTTTTATATGAATTAGTTGTAGTTGTTTCCATAGATACAAAAGATTGTATATGTGTAACATGCACTGTTCATACATGAGAAACCAAACTGTTATATATGTGGGTTGCCTCAATTTTCTTATAAGCTAAATCTGATTATTCTTGTCAACTAAATGCACACCCTAGAAGGAACTTAAGATTGTTCTTTCCTTTTTTGAATTTGTTGACATAAAAAGCAAAAAATATAACTA